TGAGGATGAACCCTTTGACTCGCAGGATGGCACTAAGCCACTAGCCGACTTCTAGCCCGTACTAAATGCAATCAACATTTTATTTATTAAATACTTGAGGGGGCTTACTTTCAAGCTGTGTCTTTATTGTGTCCTATGTTTGTTTGCTTCAAAATTTGCGAAAGCCATCCGAGCATTGCCATCCCTAATTCTGAATCGATAAGGCAGCTGGTGACAAGAACCCACTGTCAGCTGTTCGATACTCTTGTATGATCGAATAATGGGATTTGACCGTTACTCTTATAACTTACGATCCCGAAGTGCAGAATACATGTTTGCGGCAGGGAGTTACGAACCGTCAGTCCGAACACGGCAAACCACTAACCAACCACCGGGCCAGCGTTTCTCACACTTTTGTCATCCACGCCCCCCCCCCCTTTTACCTTAAGAAAAATAAGCTTAAAAAGTAATGATAAAAATTCGTTTGCCTACGATGAAAAATACTTTTCGAAAGAACCAAAAAAGATGACGTTACAGTTTTATAGATATTTACGGAAGACAATATTACTGTTTTATAGATATTTACGGAAGACAACATTACTGTTTTATCGATATTTACAGAAGACAACACTACTGTTTTTGCATGTTATTGGCCAACTACTGAATTCTTATATAACTTGGAAAAAATATTTTATTAACAATGTGAGGTGCATAGGAGAAAGTTTCAACGTATTTACATAGTTCATTATTAAGATATAAATATTTTTATTGGAGAAGTAGACGTAAAATAAAACTTAGTAACACGATAATAGTGATTTATATTTAAATCAATCGATTTCTTCCCAGAGCTATATTTGGTTTCAGCCCAACGTGCTCTCCATACAAAGTACAGGTTTTAGGGTATATATATAGATGTTACTTTTATGGTGCAGAGCCCGAAACGAGGCTGTTACTGACAAAATAAATCGCAGTAATGTTTCTATTCACTTACATGTTTAACAGCGCCAATATTGCTGGCAAAATCGGACTGATAAGATGAAGCCTGGGTGGGAGAATCGTTTAACACAATAACCCACAGTGGATGGTTATGTTACCTTCTGGCCGCTGTAGAATTCGGACATTATCGCTTTTCTGTGGGAGATATTCAGACAGATCGCTTTGGTGAAAGGTGAATACATTCATTGTTCGTGGTAATAGTGGGAGGATCGATTTGCTGCGGCTTAATGTAGGGTATCATGATCAAGATATTGTCGGGAAATTTCGCTCAGTCGTTCTCTGATGCGAAAAACACAATCGCTTTACGCTTGGTTTATTCGCACCTTTTGTGACGGAAAGATGGAATCCACCAAGGTTTCATCAATCGTTTATCATAGTTCTGTTCTAGTGGTAAAAGTTAGAATAGAAAGAAAAATACCGACTCTTTACGACCTTTTTTTTTAGTAAATTACTAAAAACTAATATATATATTTTAAATATACCTCGTTTCACACAAGTGTTTTATTCTTCTGTATAGATTTATAACATTCATTAAATCGACATACAAGACAGAAACCTGACGCAGTCAAGGTCATCTTTTAATTCCAAGGTCAAAACTCTGTTTCACAGAACAGCAATACTCTCGTTAAAGGCTTGGTATCAGAAGGCAAGTTTTTATTGTTTGAGGCCCCGAGCGTAGCCTAGTAACTAGAACATCTCCTGGGGATGCGAGGGTCTCGGGTTCGAGACGTTATATTACCAAACACGTTTCGTACTTTCAGCTGTGGGTGCGTTGTAATAGTGACAGCCAATTCCACTATTCACTTAAAAGTAACCCCTCCAGGTAGCGAAGAGCATACCTATAAATATTAAAGTGTGCCACCAGGGTAATGGTAACTGAGTAGCTATTTGCTGGGATAGTAATTCACTTCCTCAAAAGATTGAGATGATTTAACTGTCGAGTACATAAAATGATCATCTGAACAGCCTGCTTTTCTGCCAGAGTCTGTCTGTATCTAGACTCTCACAGCAGTATTAATTTTTTTATATCATTGTTACAATCAGCAAATTCGCTTTGTACCCTGTCAAGTTCTATTACGTACTTTTCTTTATACTCTGCCAACCATGTCGGCTCTTTGTTCTACGTCACACTCTGTTATTCAACGTTTAAACTGCGATAGTCTCTGTTATCTTCCACTTTTTGTATACTGTGCCAATTTCTGTTATTTCATTATATTTTTACTGTGTCTAACTTTGTAAATTGTTCTTTGTACTGTTTGTATTGTGTCAATCTCTGTCACCTAATTTTTATACTGTTTCAATCTCTGTCACCTAATTTTTATACTGTTTCAATCTCTGTCACCTACTTTTTGTATTGTGTCAGTCTCTGTTATCTACTGTTTGTGTTGTGTCAATCTCTGTCACCTAATTTTTATACTGTTTCAATCTCTGTCACCTACTTTTTGTATTGTGTCAGTCTCTGTTATCTACTGTTTGTGTTGTGTCAATCTCTGTCACCTACTTTTAATATTGTGTCAGTCTCTGTTATCTACTGTTTGTGTTGTGTCAATCTCTGTCATCTGCTATTTGTACTGTGTAATTTTCTTTCAACTTTTGCTATTTTGTAACATGTCAATCTGTGACGCCTTCAAGATCTTTATAGTGTACCAGTCTGTATTATGTGCGTCTATTTTCATCCTGCACATTCCCATCTCATTACAAGATGGCACAAGTGAAATCAGTGACTGATGAAACTTCGTATGGCATAAATTTACCCTGCAATTCCTCTACGATCCCTCATCGCCTCACTACATACTTTACTACTGCGAGTAAAGGTGAATAACGGTCGTAAATTGTTAAACAATCTTTTGCGCATTTACTTCTTTAACTGGAACACGGTGCTTCTATAAGTTTATGTCCACGTGCTTGGCCTTAATCTTTTAATGCCTTTTAAAATTTGATCCCTCTTGTTGTTTCATTCGTGTTTCTAAATCTTCCCATTGTGTTTTCTTGTCATTTCGAATTAACACACCATTGCTGAAGGATTCTCCTCTAAACACTTTGACTTTCTGTACGACTTCTTGGACTTACACTGGGTCATCTTTAGTACGGACAGATGAATCAGAAACTTCTTAGTGTCATTATTTAACAACTTGCTCAAATTTCAGATTTTCCAGCAACTAAAACGGGGTTTAAAACATAACACGTTTATGAAACTTCTCGTACTTTTAGTCTCACACAACGATGTTATCTGAACGTTGTGACTCACTCAAATTTTCAATTTTTAGTTTACGTTACCTGAAAGTTTGTTCTTCGTACAACTAGAGTGATATCTATGTTGTCCATAATACATGTTTTAGCTCGTGTTTAAGTACATCGCTAGAACACTTGAATTCCTTACATATGCTGACGGTTGAATAAACATGTTGATGGTTGAATTGGTCTTATTTACTTTATCTCTCTGGACTTCCCTCTTTCTACACACCTTTGTTTATTAAGATTAATTTGCTTCGTTTTTTTTCTTCTTATTTTTAACAATATTTTATTGACTGATATTGTTATTTTATAAGTGTTTAGCTGGGAGTGTTAAGTAGAAACAGCAGACGCCTGTATTGTTGTTTTTCTCGCAGTGTTGCGTTCTTTAAGATTATTGTTGCACATTTGGTTGTTGTTGTTTTTTCACTCTTCTCCTTCAGAGAACGCCACTAGAGTGTGCTATGACAACGGAACATGGGCACCACGGTCAGATTACTCAAGATGTAGACCCCTTACTGAGAATGATGACTTTTTAAAGGTAAATAGTGAATTTAAAAAATTTATTTATTAATGTTTATGAAAAATTTCTTCCTTGGCCTTCCTTAAAGGATGAGTAACAACAACAAAAAAAAAACAAATATGTAGAAAAATAAAACTTAGACTTCATCAAACGAACAACTTTATTCACGTACAAACAATAATGTGAATTTGAAATACTATTAAGTTTTAGGTGTGTTAAAATTAAAATCGTTTATTCCCAACTACCCTCCCAAAGTCGTTGTTTATGTGATATATCACTGTGTGCAACGTATTGGGGGAGGATGGGGGTGGTATAAAGAAAACTCATAATTAGAATGGTTATTCGGAATGCTAGTTCTCTTAGGGGAGCGAACGTTCACCAAGGGTGCATTGTTTGTTAATAATTAAGCGCGAAGCTACACAACAGCAGACTTACCGCTGTGGTGCCACTGGGAGGGGGGGGGGAGGCACATTGAGAATCAAAAGTTATATTCTGGAAAGTTCCAAAAGCTACTTTTTCTCACAAATTAGCATTCTATCTCTCTTTTCCAACAATGCCAGATTGGTGATTTGAATACAATGTGTATTGATGTGCACCAGGTTGCGAACATCAGTGAACACTACCCAAGTTGTATTAACATTTAGAGAAAGGCTTAGCTCTATTTAGAGAAAGGCTTGATATCATGATTGAGAATGACGGATAGCATTATGTAACAGTTTTTGTAACGCTATGTACCGTCTTCCAAATTTTCCTGCATGTGCCTCTGGTGAAATTTTTCTCCTCCAGTACAAGTAGTTTTTTTAAAGTGTCATCATTAGAAACGCCAGATTTTATTTGACTCAATTTGTATATATTCTAACGTTTAGCATGTTGCCAGTTTAATATTCCGAGAGTCAAAATATTCACTTCCACACGTATTTATCTACCTCTCAGTATGTTTATCTATCTGTTTATTTTACAGGTTCTATGGGATATTCACTTGCATATCTAGCTATCTGCTTATCTGTCTGTTCATCTATCTGTTTATTTTACAGGTTCTATGGGATATTCACTTGCATATCTAGATATCTGCTTATCTGTCTGTTTATCTATCTGTTTATTTTACAGGTTCTATGGGATATTCACTTGCGTATCTAGATATCTGTTTATCTGTCTGTTTATCTATCTGTTTATTTTACAGGTTCTATGGGATATTCACTTGCATATCTAGATATCTGCTTATCTGTCTGTTTATCTATCTGTTTATTTTACAGGTTCTATGGGATATTCACTTGCATATCTAGATATCTACCTATCAATCTGTTTATCTATCTGTTTATTTTACAGGTTCTATGGGATATTCACTTGCATATCTAGATATCTACCTATCAATCTGTTTATCTATCTGTTTATTTTACAGGTTCTATGAGATATTCACTTACATATCTAGCTATCTGTTTATTTTCCAGGTTCTATGAGATATTCACTTGCATATCTAGCTATCTGTTTATTTTACAGGTTCTATGGGATATTCACTTGCATATCTAGATATCCACCTATCAATCTGTTTATCTATGTGTTTATTTTACAGGTTCTATGGGATATTCACTTGCATATCTAGATATCCACCTATCAATCTGTTTATCTATGTGTTTATTTTACAGGTTCTATGGGATATTCACTTGCATATCTAGCTATGTTTATTTTACAGGTTCTATGGGATATTCACTTGCATATCTAGCTATCTGCTTATCTGTCTGTTTATCTATCTGTTTATTTTCCAGGTTTTATGAGATATTCACTTGCATATCTAGCTATCTGTTTATCTATCTGTTTATTTTACAGGTTCTATGGGATATTCACTTGCATATCTAGATATCTACCTATCAATCTGTTTATCTATCTGTTTATTTTACAGGTTCTATGAGATATTCACTTGCATATCTAGCTATCTGTTTATTTTACAGGTTCTATGGGATGTAAAGGAGGCCACAACTATCTACTTCATTGGTTACGGTGTCTCTCTAGTTGCCCTCTTCATTGCGCTCTGGATCTTTCTATACTTCAAGTAAGATGCAACCTCTCCAGTGCCTTTTTTTTAATTTATTAATTCACAGGGATTTCGTTGCTTCTCAAGATGAGATTGTGATTGCCAACTTTTCAACATTTCAGTGAATCTTTGACGATAAAATAATTTGCTTCTCTGGCTTTTTTTTCTTTCTTTTTTGCACGCGACGTTGTCAGAATCACTTCAAAATTAATGCACGGGAGTGTACGGGAAAATCAATTTGAAACTCAACAAAATGAAGCTTGAAATTCCAATGTTCTATAAGATTATTCTTAACCCTCAAATTGTCGACTTGTTTTTCCGTTCACTACCGGTAGGGTCCTCATATTGCACCGAATTAGGTGATTGAATGTTTTTGTCTGTCCCAACGCTCAGCGTAAGGAATTGAATGTCAAAAGTTGGGAGAAATCACTTATTTTCTCTTTAAGTACTGGACTTAGTGAGGTCACGTGCAATATTAACTGTAATGTTGTTTGTTTTCTTGTGTATGATTCATGTGTTATTAGGGGCAAACAAATTCATGAACTCAAAAGCAATACTGGTGCTTAAATAGTTTAGAAAAATGTGTTTATATATTTACATTCCCAAATGGATAATTCTAGAGTTGAAAAGTTCTGATTAATAAAGAAACGTTTGTTTTTTATTTGCTATATTTTTTCAAATGTTCGTCTGTGATTAAAATAACACGTATGTGTTTTTTTCTTTTAAAACAAAAACTATAAGAACGAAAAGTTTAAAAATACATTAAGTTTATTTTAGGCTTAGCAGTAAATTACAAGTAAAATAATATTGTTGACACCATCGTACTGATTTTAGGCTTAGTTGTAAATACGAGTAAATTAATATTGTTGACGCCGTCGTACCGAGTTTAGGCTTAGCTGTAAAGTACGAGTAAATTAATATAGTTGACACCGTCGTACTAGCAGTAAAATGCAAGTACAATAATATTGTTGACACCATCGTACTGATTTTAGGCTTAGTTGTAAATACGAGTAAATTAATATTGTTGACGCCGTCGTACCGAGTTTAGGCTT